TTACTTCTCTCTCTCTCTCTCTCTCTCTCTCTCTCTCTCTCTCACACACACACACACACACACACACAACCAAAGAACTTGGACTGTAATTCTTTCAGGAAGCGGAAATCAAAGTTTCGGTTGTGCCTGTCAACTGAAAAAGAAAATCAGACTGAAATTCCAAACTTTTCATCGATTTTTTCTTCTTCAAAGCATATGGGGATAATATTACTTTTATTAAAAACCACTTGATTTGAATTTTCTATACTTTCCAGAATTAAAGCTGGTTTTCCTAAGACTGTTCAGCATTTTATCCTAACAAGTAAGCTCCTTTTGATTGGTGGTTTGCTTTGACTTGCAGGACTTGGATTCACCAATTGGGCATTTGAGCATGATGAAAATGCAACCAAAAGCTTCAAACTCAATCATCCTAACACTGAAGTTTACCATGTTAATTGTGCTGTGATGCTGAGGTGCTTAGCTGGAACCCATAATTCCTTTTTTCTTTATATTTTTCCTTTTTTTCTCAGTAATAAAAGAGTATTTCTAATATGGAAACCCACAATTCTTTTAATTTTTTATTCAGAAAAAATATGGCTGTATGCTCAATGTAACATTTTATATGGCAGGGCCATTTGACTTCATAACACTTGTTTTTTCTCAGATAATTCCAATAATTATCACCAGGACCTATGCGATGGTGGATTAGGAACTTCTTTCTGAAATGTGAAACACATTTGGTTAAATATGCCATACATATGCAAATTATGCAAGTTAATGGCTTCCATGACCAGATTAAGAGAAAAAAATAATGGTAATTCCTTAAAAACCCAAGTATTTAGAACAAAGAAAAAGATTGGAGAAACTTCAATCATTCATTCAGCTTGAGCTACACTCATCTAATACAAATTCAACTGTATCGTTCCCTCACTTTTCCGGCCTATATTGAGTTTTATCTGTAATTTTGAGCATGCCTAGAGATACTTAAGCTTAGTCTTGTCACTATGGAACCATAAGATTTTGGGTGGGTGGGTGGGTGGGGGTGTGTGCGTGTGTGTGTGTGTTTGTGTATGTTTGTGTTTGTGTGGATGCACACACATATAAATATATGATCGTTCAGTATGTGGAGATCATCTAAAACATTGATACCGGACACAATCTTTTTATCTTATAAAAGATTCTTTTTTTTTTGCTCAAAAATCAAAGAAAGATACCATCCAACATGGATAATTAATTATATTTTTTGGGACTTAGATACTTGACATATTTTTCTATGTGTATATATTTTTAAATGTGGAAATAATCTCAATCATACTGAAGTCACACTTACTAGCAAAAAGAAAAATAAGAAAAAGAAGAAGAAGAAGAAGAAGAAGACTAAGATTTTATCTATGTTTTTGTGCAAAACACATGCCTTGTACCAGTCTGGTTGCTTGTAAACTCTGAAATTTTGCCTTAGTTTGTCATCTTCTTCATTGATGGTTTTCTCTACAGAAATCTCATAAAGATGCATGGGAATATTGATGATTGCATCTTTGACACTAAATCTGCTTCACTGCAAATAAATCTAAACAAGGACCAAAAGGAGATGCTGCCACATAGGGGTGAAGTAGAACTTAATCGTTGGGAGCCTTCCCAAGGTTTGAAAATTTCCCATTTTGTAATATGCTTTCCATGTATTTATAACAACTGTAATAGTTAATTGTTAATAAATCAAGCACTTAAATATTTGGTATCTTTTGATTTGGAAGGGAAAATATCATCCCAAGTTGAAGGAATTAAGCAAAATTTTGAATCTGAGGCTTATTGTTTGAAGTTTCTATTCTCTAGAAAAGTGATAAGTGCTTAATGGAAACTTGTGACAGAAACTACAGAAAAAAAAAGGGAAAACTTTGAAAGAATTACTCTTCCAATACTTAATGTGGTTCTCCATTTTACTGTTTCTCTTGCCAGAATACAGGAAGCGTTTGTAATAGCTTTCTAAGTTCTCTGAGTTTGTTTTGGATTCCAGCTTCTTCTTCTTTTTCCTTGGGAAGGGGTTTAGATTCATAAATAATGTATGCATTTCTATGAAAGGGCCTTTGAATAGAATTGATCATGTCCTATTCCTTGTGTTCTCAGGTGACAGATGGAAATGACTTGATTCACGAGCATGAATGGAATAGGGCCACAACTCTTCTATCCTATGTTGATTTCTTGCAACCCAATTTCTTTTTGCTTGAGAGTGACAAGAAATTGGTGACTCTCCCCACTAATCAGATCTTTCGTTTAACTATTTCTACACTCTTGCATCTGGGTTATCAGGTAAGGAATTAGAAAATGTAGCTACCCATTTAAGACCTCCTATAGATTGGTTTGGTTGCTTTTTGTTCTCTCCTGGTTTAATTGGTCTATGGTTTCAGGTGAGGTATGGTATCATAGAAGCCGGATGTCATGGTGTTCCTCAAGCTGGAAGGAAGTCTTTCATAATTGCAGCTTATCATGATGAAATCTTACCTGAATGGCCAGAGCCAATGCATGTTTCCTTGTGCACTAATGGTGATAGAGGTGCCCCGTTTCGTTCAATAACTGTCAAGGACTCCATTGGTGATCTAATGCTTTGTTTGGATTTGAATCTCGAAGAAGGTCTTTCATATGTGCGTTCTCTTACCTTGACTTATGTTCTCATATAGCATCACTGACATGAAATGGCATTTCATCGTTTACATATGTGCTCCTCAATCTAAGTACATGGGTGTAATGACATTTTGCTTGCGTTATACAGTTTAAAAATCAACCTGTTTCATGGTTCCAAAGCATCATTCGGGGGAACCAGAAGGTCTTGAAAGATCATATAGCATTTAATTCAAAATGGGTTGATTTGAATTGGGTGAGAGAGCAATTATTCAAAGAGGATCTGGATACTAATTTGCAAGTCCAACAGGTACACAAGGTACATAATGCATCACTAATGTATGTTTACATGTTTAGAATGATGGATTCAAGCATGTATAATCTGTGCAAGATAGGTATGAATATTGTATGTCTGACATTATTGTCGGCTCACTCCCAGCCACCGGATCAAGATCATACATATAAATGCTCTAGACACCTAAATTGTATACCTGTGGACACATACAAAACTCACCTTTTCTTTTATAGGAAACTATTTTATATAAAGATTAGATGGCTAGGTTATAGGCTAGCACTAACTGTGTTGATGAAGCCATATTTGATGCCATTGATGTCAGATCGCTCCCAACTATTTGATCATAATCAAATGGCTGGATATCTATAGACCCATATAAACTGTGTTGTTTACTTTATAGACCCATATAAACTGTGTTGTTTACTTTAAACACATAAAAGCTTGCTCATTATATATTTAAGCAACAGAAGTAGTATATATCAAATTAGAGGGTCTTGTAGCACTCTAAACATGTCGACTTTGACAACCTTTCATATGCATAATTATCTGACATAGAATACTTACACACACAGAGCATGACAGCATGTAGAAGAAAGCTAGAGGAATAGATAGATAGATGTAATGATTGATTGATTGAGAGAGAGAGAGAGAGAGAGAGAGAATTAGTTAATCTCTTAATGGTGTTGCTCCTTGGCTTCTTCAGTATAATTTGTACCATTACGCACACGCTCACGTGCGTGTCGCTTCTTGGCTTCTTTTGTAGAATTTGTAGCATTATATTTTGTGTGTGTGCATGTGTGTGTTTGAGAGAGAGAGGGAGAAAGTGTGTGTGTTCTGTGATCTGATGTCAAGAGATAGTCAATTTCAGAAAATACAGGGGCTCTTTGGAAAGTTGGAGTGGGTAGGTAAGTTCCCATCCTCTAGTCCTCATCCCAAGCCCATTGGAAAGCTGGGAACTTGGTCTCATCCAAGCCATAACAGACCTCTCACTGTTCGTGAATGCGCTCGTGCTCAAGTAAGTCTGTCTCTCTCTCTCTGGATATTGAATGGACAATCTACCCAACCCATCGTAGTTTTGAAACACTGATTCAAAAATGTGCACACCTATACTTTGGTGATATTTTTTATAATATGCCAGTGCACATAGAGCTATGAAAAATGAAGCAATAAACTAAACGTCCTTTTAACTGTCATCAATGCCAATTTCTTGAATATGTGTTTTAAAACATCTTAGGATTTTGTGGGAATTGTTTTGGGAAACTTGAGTAAATTGTTCAGCTCTACGATCACATAACCACATTTTGGACCTCATTGTGATTGTAAGACCACAGTACGGATCACTTTGTGGTCTATGGTTCTCAATTGGGTTCTGTGCATGATTTCTAGACCATAATGTCTGATTATTATTATTTTTTGGGTAATCCAATGGGGAAGACAGCCCCGACCCATTTTTTCAAATAGTTTAGGAGTTAGGCTGTTGAAGATGTTAGTGGACTAGTGTCAGTGGGAATGAAAAGTAGGGTGTGGGGTACTACCATACAACCCCAACCCCTTTTCCCACGTCCCATGAGGGAGGGGCACCCATGAAAACAATCTTTCTAAATGGGCAATTTTGAAAATATGAAAATATGACTTGTTGACCAAATCATAATCCCATGAAATATGGGAAGTCTTATGTGATTGATGTGGGGTTGATATATCCTCCATCTTTTACTTAAAAGAGGGAGATAGAGATGAGAAACATTTTAAGAAGTTATGGATATCCTTTCCATATTGGTCATTATCCCATTGACCCATATAAGAGCAATACGTGGGGGCCTAGATCTCTTTAGCCTTCATGCTTCTCTCTTGAAAGAGAGCCGTGTGCTCTTGGGGTTTTAACCACAGCCACTTCTCTTGGGCCATTTTTAGGATGCACCTCTTTTGAGCCATTTTTTTGGGAAGAATCTACTTGGTGTATTGAAAAATATAGGAAGCTTTCTTTTGCAGAGAAGATGAAGAAGAGGAGATAGAAAGTTATCATTCTCTTACAGAGAAAAAGAGAGAGAGAGTAATCCTTCTTTGAGAGAGAAGAAAAAGAGAGAGAGAGTAATCCTTCTTTGAGAGAGAAGAAAAAGAGAGAGAAAGTTGTCATTCTTCTTAGAGAGAAGAAGAAGATAAAAGAGAGTCAATGATCATCTTCTTAAACATTTTCTTTATAGAGAGATAAAAAAGGAAGAAGAGAAGAAAAATAGAGAAAGAGAGAACCTTTTCTTTTAGAGAGAGAATGCTTTTAGAAAGAAGTCTCTGAGAGATCAAAGAACCTCAAAGAATAAAACCTAGAGAGAGAAGTCTCTAGAAGACATCAGTGAGCCCAAGAAAATTTTGTTTTTTGGAAGACTATTGTAACCATTGAGTTAATAGTGGATTGTCTCTTTCTCCCGTGGACTTAATTTGAAAAGATGAACCATGTAAATCTTGATGCCAATAAGTTTTATTTGCTTTATTGCATGTTTTCTCACTTATACACACACACACACATTGACTTTGGCATTTTTTTTGTGTCGCATATATCCTCGTTCCATTACATGCATCGACATTCGTGCGAGAGGGCTTTAAATGGGTGAGCCCAACAAATGATATTAAAGCAAGGTTCCCCTAGCTGTAACCTAATCCTGAGAATATGCTCACGACTGGGACAAGGTTCAGTGGCTAGCTATTAATCCCACTCTTTGATCACAGTCACTACTCCTGAGCTTTGCCCCAACTTTGATTGTATTATTTAATTGGGCATTCAGGATTGTAGTGGGACATGTCGTCAATCAGAGACAATCGATGAGTGCTCATTGTGCAAAGAAGGTCCTGACTAGTGGACTATTAGTCATCACCTTGATCAACAATGAATAATCATTGTGCAAAGAAGGTATTGACCAATGGACCATTAGTCACCATTTGACCAATAGTGAATCACTTTAATCGACGGTTGACTGACGGTGATACTCTGACCGATGGTGGATTGCTTAATCGACATAGGATAGCTTAATCGAAGGGGGATAATCTTAGCAAACGATGAATAGTTTAAAGGCGTGTGAAAGACAGTTGTGCGGATTTTAGATGGATTCCAGTACCGGGAGCAGGATGATATTGCTCAATGAGAATAACTAGATCATCTGGAAGTCAAAGATGGAATATCTACTATACTATAGGGACTTGTACCTACCCATTGGAGGGGTAGAATACAAGCTCGAAGCTATAACAGAGGATGAGTGGAAAAGACTAGATCAAAAAGCTCTTAAAATTATCAGACAATGGTTAGAAAAAATGTATTCCACCATGTGTCGATGAAGACATCCTCGAAGTCATTGTGGGATAAGCTACATGACTTGTACGAGAGGACGACCATCCAAAATAAGGCATTCTTGACTTGGAAGTTAGTGAACATGAAGTTCAAGGATGAGGAATCCGTTGCAGAGCACCTGAATGAGGTGCAAAACATCGTTAACCAACTCGCAAAGATGAAGTTGTTCTTGGAAGATGAGCTACAAGCTCTGTTTTTACTAAGTTCACCGCCGAACAATTAGCACACCCTGGTAGTCTCTATGAGCAACTCAGCACCTAATGGGATAGTGACCATGAGTCTGATCACTAGCAATCTGTTGAATGCGGAGGTGAGAAGAAAATTCACCGACACATGTACTCGTAAGCCCTTGTCACAAATCGAGAAAAATCCATGAATGGGGATCAAAATTGATCGAAGACAAGAAAGGGGATCACATGTTTTCATTTGTGGCAAGGAATGACACATTAAGAAAGATTGTCGAAAGCTCAAGAATGAGTGGAATGAGGACAATGTCAGAAATGAAGGCAAGGAAACCACTGCAGTGACCACATATGTTGGTGTGATTGGAAACTATGGTGAAGGGTGCATTAATACTGCATCATGCAACTCAGACTAGGTTGTGGATACTAGAGCATCGTTTCATGTTACTCCACAACAACGTTATTTTGCTTCTTACAGAGCCAAAAAATTTGGCTTTGTAAAGATGGGGAACAATGATTCCTCAAAGATTGTGGATAAGGGAGATATATGCATCTCTAACCCCACGTGACCACGTTTGCTAGGGAAATAATGTAAAGCATCTTTCTCTAGTAAGGGCTTTAAGGAAATCCTAGAATTGATGTATTCAAATGTGAGTGGTTCCATGGATGTCAAATCACTTGATGGTGCATCATACCTCGTCACCTTCTTCGATGATGCTTCAGGAAAGGTATGGCTGAAAACGAAAGATCAGGTGTTTTGAGATCTTTTAGGATTTCCACACTAAGGTGAAAAGGGGAAATGTAAGGTGGAAAGGGAGACATGCAGGCTGCTAAAGTGTCTCAGAGTTAGGAGTATGTCATCCACCACCAAGCTGTATTTGAGTAAAGCAATCCTCACAGCATATTACCTAATAAATAGATCATCGTTGTCGTTGGTGGTATAAGAACAATGGGATAGAAATGCAATCTTTAAAAAATTTTCATTGCATAAAAACTCAAGGGTTTAAATGGGCGAGTATCTCAATACAAAACCATAATACATATATTCCAGCCTACAAACATGGTTTATACACATTTGAATAATAAAATTCACTCCTAATAGGTCCCTTACAAATCCCTTACTCAAAAATACAATTAGCTCAATACAATATTCAAATATTCACAATGTACATCTCTACAACATATTGTACGACTTGCACTTGCAATTCCTCATTCTATCAAAATTATATGATAATTCCATCTTCATTCTACATCCTCATCATATATCATAATGTCACATACACATCATATACTAGATCATAATAATTCGATAAGATTTCAATTCGCATAAACAATAATGCATAGCATTAAAGTTCATACCGCAAGATTAAATAACAATCTCAATATACACACAATATACTCAATTTAACCAATCATGAATCCATTTAATAACTATAAATATATCAAATTAACATGCAAAACATACATGGAGAAACCATGGTTCGAACTCCTTGTGCCCGGGCCACGAAAGGGCCTTTTGAGGACTTAATTTTGTCCCATTGTCTAAGACACGGGTGATAATAATAACTCAAGGAGATCAATCCAATAAGAAGCAAATGATCACTTTTATTTCACTTAATGGGGATCAAATCATGAGATAGACATGTATCAAAATAGCCCTTCAAAGTTTGAGAAATATATGGTGAAACTAAACCATGTGGTCCATAAGGGACCGCACGAACTTTTCAACATTCAAAAAGGAACTCAAGGGACTATTTCATATGCTCAAATATGATAAAATAAACCTCTCATCAGTTGTATATTCTCAGTAAAAATTTCAGAAAAATAAGATCAAGAAAATCAAATTGAAACTACTCAAGATCATGGAGTAAGCATGCTAGTCTACACATACCATATGTATGAATTACACTATTGCTTTGGGACTCTTCAAATATCAAGTTTTCATGACCACAAATGAAGAAAACTACTGTAAATTAAGAATTACAGCAAGCTTTGATAATGGAAATGATGTAAGAATTAAAAATTTATGAAGAAAAATCAATACCTTAATGAAGTAATAGTATGGGCTGGATCACATAAATGAGATACTAATCCATAAAAGGGTTTCAAATGAAAGCTCAAGGAAGAAGATAGTCTCATGGGTGGCTACATTTTTTGTCAATGGCTCTCTCTCTCTCTCTTAGAAGTGAATACTTAAGTTAGAGTTATAATTGATCTCGTAAGTTACTTTTATACTTAGATGATAAAGATGGATTTGATCTTGATCTTGATCATTGATGCCTCATATCAATGGCACATGAGAGGCTTTTATCCAAGCCACTCATCCATATCTTATCACTAAGATCAATGGATAAGCTTTTGACACCCGACACTCCTTAAAACCTAGGTTTATAGTCATTTTACTTTGAAGCCCTTAGCTCCATGTTTATTTCCCATTAAGTCCAAATTCATGTTTATACTTATACCCATGGTTTTTGAATAATTTGTGAGAGTCAA